TCCGTTAATTGCTTCATTTCCGGCCTAGTCCGTAAATCTTCATTTTCGGCCTACAGCGTAAAATGCTTCATTTTCGGCCTAGTTCCTAAAAGTCGTCATAGCAACCTTGTCAGTTTGCATGTACCTGTCGCAACTGCTAATACATAATCAGTCAAAATTTTTAATGTCACATTCACTTCACATCTTTGAGCTATTACAAAAAAGTATTGTTTGTTTCACGTACCTAAAATATTAGTTTTTTAAGTACCTACCTACCTACTTGTTACAAAAAATACATATTTTGACTCGATTGACATCAAAACAGTTGCCTTTGGTTTTAGTTGATTTTTTTTTCTACTGCTTTGCGTAAAGTACTAAGTACTTACTTTACGCACTGTTCAAACATTGAATTAGATTTCACACACTATTGCATAAGGTGAATCACAACAACAAAAAATTTTACTAAATTGAAGTTTCTTCGCAAAAATGCATAAATACCCACAAGTATAAAATTTTATGTTATAAAATCCTTTACTGCCCTTTTTCTGCATAAGAAATGTGATTTTACTTCACACCGGAGGTTGTGAACTAAGTTACTTGTTACTTTAGACACTAGGGCGTAAAGTTGTGGTATGTTTTTTTTTTCAAATTTATGGCATTCGAGCGTTGATCTATATCACCCGCTTACAATATTGTTGGTAGTAGAAAAAAAAAAGTGTATGCAACAGGTGTGTAAAGCTTCTTTTTTCATACATTTGTGAAAAAAGGTTCACTTTAGACATCTGTTTATGTTTTATACCAAAAAAAATTCTAGTACCGACAATATGAAGCTATACATTTGAAAACATATACCGCAACTTTACGCCCTAGTGGCTAAGTTAGTTCACAACCTAGGGTGTAAAGTAAAACCACATTTTTAGTGCAGAAAAAGGGCAGCAAAGGCTTTTATCGAGGCCTTTTTTTTAAAAAAAAGATAATACCCCAAGTCAAAATATTAGTAACTATGTTGGCAACACAAGCCTTTTCTACATAAAAAATTTGAAAGCATTGACAATTTTACATTGTATTGCCAACAGAATGTCATTTTGACTTTTATCTTTAAAAAAAAACAGATTTTACTTGTGGGTATTTATTTCATTTTTGCGAAGAAACTAATACAATTTAGGGCAGGTATTATAAAAATATTTTAACAGAATAACTAAAAGTTAACTTCTCGAATGACTTTACTTCTCGTGGTAATTCCAGAAGTTAACTTTTAGTTATCTGTCAAAATAGTTTTATAATACCTGCCCTTAATAAACTTTTTTGCTGTTGTGAATTACTTTACGCAATAGTGCGTGAAATCTATTTTCACGTCTTTTGAACAGTGCGTAAAGTAAGTATGTACTTTACGCGCGGTAGTAGAAAAAAAAAATCTGTGAGCTAAAACCAAAGGCAACTGCTATTATGCCATTCGAGCCAAAAAATAAGGTTTTCACATCCTGCATAAGTTTATTTGTTTTGGATTCTTAAGTTATTTTCGAATATATCTCCCTACTCCCAACTACTCAACCTATGACAAACTCAAAAACTATTTCAAAATCAGAAAAAAAGCGCATATTTTTAAACTTTTTTTGCTAAGTAGTACCTACGGTCAAAGTTTACAGCTACGGTTCAGAGAAAATTGAAGAAAACCAATTCAATTTATTTTCCTATTTTTTTTTTGACAGAAATACTACCTGTCAAAATGGTTTTATAATTTCATCTCATTCTTTAGTCCAAAACAAATGTTTTTTTTTTTTTACTTGACGAAAATCGGTTACTAAATAAGAAAGTTACGATTTTTTTCAAGAATAGTACCAGCCGCCATCTTCAATTCATCATGGCGGAAAAAGCAAGCCTCCTAGGAGGTGTAACTTTTTTTCACAGAGTACTATTGATGGGTACTATCATCTGTGAAAAAATAAGCTTGATTGCAAAAACTTCTCCTAAAGGCCATTTTTTCAGCTAACTGCCCTGGCCTATAAGCAGACCTTTTCATTCAAGGAGTTCTTTTTTCTATTGAAAAGGTTCAGCTTTATTGAAATCTCATTCAGGTCTTCAAAATGATCCTTCATGTTTGTGACTATACTGTTGTTTTTACTTGCTAACTTTATTATATCTCTGTAATGATCCGCGGTAAAGACCTTCTCATGTTTCCTCATTTCCTTTTCGATTCTTCCAAAATCCCGATCGGATTCTAAAAAAGAATGTCCCACTTCCGGAAACTTGTGATCTATGATCTTCGCATAGCCTTTTAAAATTAAGTATTGGTACAAGGAAATTATATTGAAATTTTTATTTTGTCCAGAACAAGAATATGACCAAATAACTAAATGATCAATTTTTTTTTCGGCACTTAGAAGTTGTACAAATGTATGCAGAGAGCTTCCAATTTCCGCACTGCCTTTTGTAGCAAGTATCTTCTGTCCATGTAAAAAAGTAGGACTTGTCACCATCAGTTGAGATTGTGTGGATACCAAAATTGTAGAACCACATTTGCCTTAAGTAAAATGCTTTCGATGTTGTGATTCTTGGTAAGGGCATTGTCTGTTGTAGATCTAAGTAAGGTATAGTATATCTTTATTAATGCGCGCATATTGCCTATCCACTTTTTGTTGCTCAAAAGCAAAATTGAAATTTTCTGAATGTTCTTCACTTTTCAATCCAGAGTCGAATGTGCTACACGTATCGCTTTTGGGAGTTGAGAAAGATAAATTGAATTCCTTTGAAAAAATGTGAGCATAAAAACTCTTTTTTACCAAAAATGCATTGTCTAACTTGTTCTCCTGCACACACTGCTTATAAAGCTCATACATCTTCGATATGTTTAGAAGTGGCGATAAATACTTTTTTTTTACTACTAACCTGAGAAATAGACATTATTCAATCTATTTTTCTAAGAAAAAATTGAATTTCTCTCCCTAGGTTAATAATGAAAATAATGAAAAAATACCTAGGTCAATAATGAAAATGACGTCATGACGCAAGGATATTGTCATGTTTCTATTGGTTCAATTTCAATTTTATACGTCAATTTTAAAAAAATACAGGTTTCTGTAGGTACATAGGAAGTTATATAAGCTGTTGATAGAGGGCAGCACTTTCGAAAGGGCGTTCACAAAAAATAATTAGAACACAGATTTTAAACAAATTTTTTATTTTCTACTAGAAGTAGTAAAAAAAATTCTATATATTCCTCGGTAGAGAAAGTCATTATATACCTCAAGCATTATAAACCGAGGCGCGCAGCGCCTCGGTTTATAAAAGCTTTCGGTATATAATGACCAACTTCTCTACCTAGGTATATAATATACTATTATTTGCAATCATATATGTAATCTTGACATTACTGGTTTTTTAAAAATTTGGAAGTGTCACTTCACAGAACATATCACCTATAGAAAAATATCTCAAAGGGAAGAATCGCGACAAAGGTTTTTAATTAGGTTTTCATTCAACGATGGCGACACTGTCGGGAGATAAGAGAAATTTACAGGTATCTGTGGTGTGGACAGTGATTTGTGTTGGTTGGTTTTGTCATTTATTTTGTCATTTTAAAAGTCAAAATTTGAATTTTTAAATTGTGTTGTTGTACCCCACGGTTTCTACGCGCGTTAAAGTGAAAATTCAAAAAGTTTTGGTTGAAAAAAAACCTAATTTTTTCGTATTTTTTTGTATTTATTCGTTTGTTTCGTTTCGTACGTATTTGTATTTATTATTCGTATTTACTTTGCGATCTACCTATAACTGCGTGTCTCTTGCTAACTTACTAACTCTTTTTGCACTATGTTCGACATCGGAAACTTCCTGCCAGTCACAGTTCTTAAAAAAATGAGGCGAAAAGAGCTAAGAGGAGTCAGCAAGCCAAATGCAGTTGAACATTAAAAAATATACAAAAATAATAAAAATATATGAAAAAAATCAATTCGCCTTTTTGTCAAGAATACTCGATTAGTTGGGTTTTCAGTCAACGAGGGCGCCGTAATTCATAACCGGTACATACCATTGCAGATACTTTTCTAGAGGTGATATGTTCTGTGGTGTCACTTTACTTGTGTCACTTCCCTCTTCGATTTCCCTATTCGACTTCCTCACCGATTTCCCTCACTGTAATTTATTTACCTTTGCTGGCAACAATGAGAACATGTCAGGTAAAAACGTCAAAACAGTGAATGACAAATTTTGGCATGTTTGTTTTATTTTTTTAATATTAAAAAAATTGAATGGTGTGCTTGCAAATAAAATAGTATACAAACCTCAAAGGAAAGTTTTCATTTCTGTCTCGAGATTAATAGTCAATCTCGACGCTCCGCGTCTCGATTGACTATATAAATCTCTCGAAACACTTCTCGAAACACTTCCCTATTCGGTATGTAATATACTATTGTTGGCGTTTTTGTTTCGCGAATAGTGAGATTGTTCTGCAGGAAAGGAGTCTATATGTTTTTTAATAAAATCAACTACTTCGTCAGATTTTTTGTTAGGTCTAGAATCATGGCAGCCTCTTTTATCTGGAGATAGAGCTGTTATTCCAGAATTCAACTGGTTTTGCAATAACTGTATTTTTTTGTGAGAAATTTAGTACAAAGACAGAAATGCTGTTTTGCAGACAGTAGCAATATTTTTATTGCATGTCACTGTATAAGAAAATGTGGAACTCTTGTCGCTTGCTCGAATTTTTCGACGTCTTTTAACTGGTGCGACTCGAATTGATTTGAAGAGGAAAGCATTTTTTGAATTTTGATCCAATTTGTAAAATTTTCTGAATATTTCTTCTCTGTCATTTGAACTAAATTTTTCATTGCACCTTTTTCTGCATGAGTTTTTACAGAGTAATCCTAATTCAGGTGCTTTTTGTTGCACTTCTTTTTTAGTTTTTTGTGAAATATATGCTTTCCCTTGCTGCCTGGCTAATGCAGACAGGTTTCTTGACCATGCTTCTGGACGAAGTACTCTTTTTCTTGACTTTTTTTCGGGCAAGTTGAATACTTTCGTCTTACCATTCACTAAATTCACATCAGAAGTCGTTGCTGGCTCTAAATCACAGGATACTTCAGATGCCGTTACTAAAATATTCTCTTTATCTTGAGGAAGAATGGAATCCTCTGCAGTAATGTGTTTCTTTGTCAAATTTCCACGATTAAAACTTTCTTCCTCGCTTTCTTCTTCAGAGCTATCATCGGAATCATCTAAAGCAGAATCATTACCGGGGTTATAGTCATCGGAGGAGTTATCTGGAGAAAACGGATCATGTTCATTATCAGAAGGATCTAAAACAAAGTTAAAATATAAAATTTTAAAATTTATTGTCATTTTTTTCACCAGTTAAATAATGTTCATCTTTATCAGGTGTCTTTTCTCTTTCTGTGAATTTGGCAGCCAGTTGTTCTTGTTCCTCTTCTTCCCATCTCGTTTTATCCAATTTTTCCTGTTCTAGAAATTGAAGGTTTCAAAATCTGTTTTCACAAAAAACTATATATGCAATAAAATGGGTTCAGATAGATTGACTTATATTCTTATTTTTAAGAGTGCCCAACACATAACAGCTCATTGAAATATTATTTAAACTTTTATTTACAAAAAATATTTTAAACTAATTTATTGCCAACAAATTTTAAAGACAATTTTAAATTGCAGTATGAGCATATTTTTACTTACCTTTATATTTTTTTTGTCCTAGTTGAAGTGAAAATTTACTTCTTGCTGACATTTTTCATTTGGTATTATTATTTTCATCAAAAATTATAAATATTTCACAAAACGTAAACAAATACACTGATTGTATTTTAACACAAACAAAAGAAACATAACCTCACTTAAGGGTCTATGTAGGATATGCCTGTCAGCCGGATTATGAAATATAGTGCATAAGGGGTCTAAGTAACAGTTTTTCAAGATTTTGTGTTGCATAAAGGGTCTATGATTCATTGGTCGTACATAGATCCTTTATGCACTGTAAACAAAGGGAACTCCATGCTTCATAGACCCTTTATCAGTTACTAACTTTCTCAACAGTGATTATAGCGTCATTTAACCTTGTGCAAAATAATTGTATACCCCAAAACCCCAAAAAACTGAAAAATACGAATTTTTAAAAAAAATGTCACTTAGACCCTTTATGCACTTGTGTCTTCAATTATTATCTTAAAGTCCCATAAAACAAACATTCTTGTCACTATCTTGTCTTTCCATACATCCATCAATACTACTACCACTACTGTTACCTTGATTCTGCTGTCTTTCATTTCTCTCACCATAATATCCTCGATAATATCTGTCATTCCTTGAGTCCTCCATCTGTGCAAAATTACTTCCTTGAACCATTCCATTTCCATTATATTGGTCAGTATTGTACTGTTTATAACCATAATAATTATTGTTTTGTCGATAACCTCTTTCTCCACCTCTTGGTCCTCCTCTGGGTACTCCTCTATATCCTCCTCTTATATTTCGCCCATGATTTGGTGTAAAACCTCTTATTTGAATGTAATGATTTTGCCCGTTATTATTATTTAGTAGAGTATGTTGTGAAAATTGATTTTGATGTTGAACACCTCTGAAATTTCCTCCAAAACTGTTTCTTATGCATTCCCTTTAGATATGGCCAATTTTCCCATATTTGTAGCATGTCTTTTGAGTGGAAAAAGCTGCACTTTGAAGGCTTGACATATTATTTTGGTCTGGTTTGTTCAATCTTCTTCTATCAAATTCATTTGAAAGTATTTTCTTTGCTTCATCAAAATTCATATTTTTTGAGTTTTCAATTATTGCTATAATTGTATCATATGATTTAGGTAGACTTAGCAATATCCGTTCCAGTGGCACTCATTTACTGTCTCATTATACCATCATAGTCTAGAACATGCTGGTATGGAACCACCCTCATGTAATTTCATCGACAATAGCTTTTTTCTTAAAAATAACTGTGCTGGCAATCCTTTTTCTCATATCTTTCTTTTAAAGCAAGCCACATTTCATATGCTGTATGTTTTTCTCTTAACCATTCTAATTGACTGTCTTCAACACATTGAACAATAATTAATGATTTTGATTTATTCTTTATTGTAATTTGTAATGTCTTGCCCTTTCTGTATCGTTCAAAGTACTTACATCTATTCGGGTTTCAACTTGTTACAAAACTGAATTTTTAGCCAACAACATCTCTACTCTAAATTTCCAATTATGATAATTGCTTCCATTTAATGATTGGATACTAAAATTCTTTCCTTGGGTCATTTTTTCTAATAATCCTTTAACCTCACTTCAACTCACTTGGGGCATAAAAAAACTCTTTTTTTTTTTCAAAAACAAATTATTCATAATCCTGGGCCCATAACCTGTTAATATTTGTGGTGGTTCATTATAAACGTGGACAATAGACAGTCATTTTCATAATGAATTGACACCTCTACATTGACTTCTGACTATGACTTCTGTACAAAAAAAAAAGTAACATGAAAAGGAGTGCGTTCGAAAACATCGATTTTTAGTAATACTCAACAATTGAACACCTTAGAGCAATACAATGGTAAGTCTCAAAAACAAAAAGTTGAGATATTACGGTTTAAAGTTTTCAAAAATTCTGTAAAAAAATGGTTTTGATTTAAAGATTTCAAACTTTGTCAGTATATTATGTCAAAGAGGGAGAAAGCACCCAAACATACCTTAATGCTTTTGAATACCGTGCAAAAACGAGCTATCAAGCTGATCAATGACCCCGCACTTACTCGTAACTTGGATGGTCTCGAACATCGCAGACCTGTGGGCGATTTATCTCTCTTCTACAGGTACTATCACGGAAAATGCTCTGAAGAGTTGGCACGTATGATTCCACCGAGAGTAGCACCTACCAGGCGAACCCGTCAAACAGACGGTAACCATGAATTAACTGCCAAACTAGAGGCACCAAGAACCTCATTATATCAGAATTCATATCTCTGGAGGACAGTATCGCTGTGGAATAAACTCCCTGCGACGGTTTTCCCTGCAGGTTACAACCTGAACCGTTTCAAGACCAACATACACCGACATTTCCGCGCACTTGCCGGTTCTCGAGCGTGATAGGACATTTCCTTGCGAGTGCGCATATCCGTAAAAAAAAAAAAAAAAAAAAAAAAAGATAAGCGACTAATATTAAAAAAAAAAAACAATTGTTTTTTTACAAAAAATGGGGTTTATTTTGAAAAAATATGGCTTAACATGTTTTTGCTTAAACTAAACTCATTATAAAAATAACTGAAAAAATACAATACTACTCATCTAAGATTTCAGCCTCTTCGTCTAAATCATTAACAGCAACGTTTAGTTGCGTATAAAATGCATGGTAAGCTGGCGGTATATAAGGCGATAATGTGTGTATATTTTTAATTTTTTTTTCTGCAATTTTTACTGGCTCGTATTTTTGTTGTTTAATATCTGACAAGCTTATCATTGCAGGTCTACCTTGTTTTAAAACATTAATTTCCCTGTACTCGCCATTGACTGTACTTTTAACGAAATATGACCCAACATTTTCTGACTTAAAAAGAAAACTGTACGTTCCTGCAAATTCTAAATTCTGCTTGACAGGAAAACGTGCTTTTTTGTTGATATTAGTTAGTAAAGGCTCAAAAGAAAAAAAATCTTTTTGTGTCATTTTTGTACAACAAAAGGGTTTTTTTATTTGCTTTCTCAATAATATCTAGCCAACCTTCTGGTGAATAAATCACTGGAGCCCGGTGTCTCTGGCGTTTTTCGATCAGAGCAAAATCTCTGTCTGACGGCATAACGGAATGACCGCTAACAAGAAAGTGATGTGTTATTTTTTTAAAACTTTTTTTCTTTTACTAAATGCAACCAAAATGCCATCATCTGCCAGTTCTTATCCTGACCCGGGCAGTTATCAGTAAAAATAACAAGTTCATCATAATCTAATTTAGTTTCTAAAAATTTCATTAGAACAGAAGTAACTTCATCAGCTCCGCGCTTAGCCTGATCTTCAGTCCACAAATACATGAAACCTTTCTTATTTGTGCAATCGTGAATTACTAGGTTATAAAGCCAAATATTTCGGCAGTAAAATGCAGGACCAGTTGTTAGTTTTGGAAGTGGCATACTTTGTTGCAAATCAAAAGAGATTACTAATTTTTTTTATCAGGTGTGTCTATTTCACTTTTGAGCAATTTTTGCATTGCGTCAGCTCTAGCCTGGTGCAGGTTCAAAAATGTAGTTAGCTCTTTTTCTAACTCTATATTATTAGCTTCCTTTGCCGCCTTAATTTTAATACCCATTTCATCGCAGGTCTTGCAGGTATTCGATTTTGGTAGTTTGAATCCCATGTTATATTGAGTACAGAATATTTTTCTGTAAGCGCTCTCTTTAACTGGACTGATATTTTGTTCCCTACACCAGGGCACATAGAAATCTGTATACAGTCCAGTAATAGTCATATCGCAGTTCAGATATAGCTTACCGATATTTTTGGCTCTGCTGTAGTGGCTTTGATATTTAGGTATTGATTCAATATGAGTTTTAACAGATTGAATTTGTTCGTCCGAATATCTATTGTGTCTAGTATTGTGTTTGCCACGCATATCAGGTTCAGGAACCATAGCCCCTCCTGCCTTCATTTTAAGAATCCTTTCAACTTTTCCCCGAGATTTCTGAAGACCGTGAACACTCAAGAATTCGGTTTTGCATATTTTTTTTTCTTCGTCTCCTATATTAACCAAATAATCAGCGGTAAACTTTCTTCTGGAAACATTATTCATTTGTTTTTTCTTGTTTGACCTTTTCTTATTTTCTGCTCTTATACAACCAAAAAGATAGCTATTTTGGAGATCAAATGAACCCAAATCCCAAAATTTTGTAAACAATTGCTCATGGTTACCTTGCAACTTCTCCCTGCATCTATTTTTACAGTCACAAAGCAAACCAATTTCTTGTCGGCTTCGATGTTTCTGGAGACTCTTCTTTACCCCTGCTAAGCCTAGTGAAATGCTCTTGCGATTCATCCTAAAACACAATAAAATAGGACTTGAAATGCAAATGCTAAAAAAAAGTTTATGCAATAACATGTTAAGCCACTTGGCATACCATGCTTTTGCATAAATTATTTACATAATATTTTTACATAAGAACATGGTAAGCCAAAAAAAAGAAAATGTAGCCTACATCTGTAGAATCTGACGATGTATTATCAGAACTTGAACTGCTATTTCCACTAAAAACGGCACTTGAACGAGCACGTGTACCGGAGGTCGACGCCATTGTGATGTGGCTTACCACGTTTTCACACGAAAAAAGGACGAAATTTGGCAGACTGCAACAACACGATACAGCGATCGCTCCGCCATTTATTGCCGTACGGTCAATTTAATATTTTTGTGGCTTAACATAGTTTTCGCCGAGTGATTAATACAATAAAACAGTTTCCTGGCAAAGTGTGGCTTACCATTGCATTGCTCTAAGGTCTTTAATTGTAAAGGTATGTGTACTTGAGATGTCTCAACAGCCGAGTTTTGTAAATTAATTCTAGCGCCTATGTTTATTAAAAAATCAACGTCTAATAAGCCATCGAATTATTCGGAAAAATTGAATGAATAAAATTTATGATGACCATTTTTCCTGAATGAAGGGAAGATAGGAATATCTATAACTTCATCATGAGTAGAAATTGCATGGGCTGTCTTAACTGTAAAATATTCAATAAAAATAAAGTAGGGATATACTTGATATGCCAGTGGTGGATTGATAAAGCTTTTTCCACTTTCTGTATCAATTAAAAATTTAGCATTTAATTCAGGAATTATTATGACTGGTAAATCAGAGGTATTATAATTATTGAGACAAATTATGTCCCACTGTCGGAATTCGGAGTCAATTGAAAATTTTGGTATTGAAAATCATTATTTTGAAAATTGGTGTTCTCATACATATTGTACAGGGTGATTCATTAAGAATGGCAATCGGCCATATCTCAAGATATCATCGTAGTTATGTCGGAAAAAAATTATCCCATAAATATGGCCAAGAGAAAATGCTGGAAATATATTTCAGCTTTCTAAAATGACCGTAAGGGGGCGTAACCCAACTGTCAAAGTACAAAAATGGTTTTATTTTTTAAATTTCAAATGGAAACGTATCTCAGGAATGCTAGCAATAGATTTTTGATGAAATTTCACACAATTTTGATTCATGACTTTTTACTATAACTTATCGGATAAGACAGTTATGAGCTGTCAAATATTGCAACTTAAGAACACGAATAACTTCAAAACGACACAACGAATTGGGTCGATCTTAGGTTCGTTGGAAAGACAAGAGTCTGTTCTTTAATTTTATTGTAAAAAAAATCCAACTTCAGTTAGTTGGACTGACTCTATGGGTGGATATTTGAAAACAATTGAATTTTTTTAATTTTTCTTGAAATTTTCAAATGGAACGGTATATTTAAGATATGTTTAATCGATTTTTGAGGATGTTCTATACAGATTTTCTTTATTAAACCTTCCTACAAACGAATTCCAGAGAGTGTTAAATTTAATTTAATCAAAAATAATCAATATTTTTGAAAAAGCCCTCGTAAATAATGACTTTGCTTTTCTGACAGTTGATTGTCATCATTGATGAATGTCAAATTATGGAAAAAGTACGTTAGGAAATTATAATAGTAACTATAGTATGCAATGATCATGTAATGATAGCCATTAATACACGAGCATGTTGTAGGATACGAAACTTGAAGAAGAAATAAATATTTAATTTGAGAATAGTAAACTACTCAAGTGGTGGTGCCATCTATTAATAATTTTGGAAATTGAAATCTAGACGTCATTTCCGGATAAATTCGGCACCCGCGTACTGTGAATTCATTAATTTTTCATTCTGCTCTTTCTGTGAATACTAACAGAGATTATCCAAAACCAGTCTATTATTTTTTTTATAAGCATTGTCCATTTTCAAAATAATTAGATTTTAGTGGCTGCGATTGCTGCATTGCCATTACATTCATGCAGGAGGGCTTTATTTGAAATTGATGCAACTTTGCGTACACGCAAATATGACGCAAATGACGTCATTTTCGATTGAAAAATTGCATGTCAAATAAGCCGTTCACCAATTTTCAATCCCAAATAACGTCATTTGCGTGTACGCAAAGCTGCATCAATTTCAAATAAAGCCCCCCAGAACCTCAAGGATGTCCTGTGCTTCTCCATTTGTGAAATGCATTTTGACTTTAGAAAATAGCGTTTGAAGTTTCAAAAATATGTCAGCCTGACATACTTAACTGGTATCTGCTCAATTTATGGAGGCTTTTTCATAAATACTGATTATTTTTAATAAAATTTATTTTAACACTCTCTGGAATTCGTTTGTAGGAAGGTATAATAAAGAAATACTATGTAAAACATCCTCAAAAATCGATTTAACATATCTTAAATATACCGTTCCATTTGAAAATTTTAAGAAAAATTGGAAACATTCAATTGTTTTCAAATATTGACCCATAGCGTCAGTCCTACTAACCAGAATTTGAATTTTTCACAACAAAGTTAAAGAACAGACTCTTGTCTTTCCAACGAACCTAAGATCGACCAGATTTGTTGAGTCGTGAAGTCGTGAAGTTATCCGCTTTCTTGTGTTGCAATATTTGACAGCTCATAACTATCTTATCCGATAAGTTATGGTAAAAAGTCATGAATCAAAATTGTGTGAAATTTCATCAAAAATCTATTGCTAGCATTTTTGAGATATGTTTCCATTTGAAATTTAAAAAATAAAACCATTTTTGTACTTTGACAGTTGGGTTACGCTCCCTTACAGTCATTTTAGAAAGCTGAAATATATTTGCAGCATTTTCTCTTGGCCATAATTATGGGATAATTTTTTTCCGACAAGACTACGATGGATAGTTTTCGAGATATGGCCGAGTGCCATTCTTAATGAATCACCCTGTACATGTAATCAAACGGATTAATATAATTGTTATAAGATTGGTAAGGTTGATAATAATTATTGTAATCACTTGGATCAAAATTATTGGTTTCGTCAAAATTGGAGTTTTGAACTGAGTTTTTTTCAGTTTGGTTTTCTGTATGATCTTCAGATACAGTGTCCACAGATTGATTAAATAATTCTTGTACATTTCGATTCTGATTATTGTTATTATTTATTCTTTGAACTGATCTATTGAAATTGTTATTGTTGTTATTGAACCATTGTGGTCTTGTAAATTGATTATTAAATGGCATGTTTGGGTTACGAACAAAATTATTCATATAATTTGGTCGAGTAAAATTTGGGAAATTATTTGGTATATTGAATGATGTTCCAGGCACATTACCAGAATAATGTGGCATTCTTGGTGCATTACCAGAATAATGACCAAATCTGTATGTACTATTAAAAGGATTTTTGTTTTTGTTGCTACTACTATTTCCAGTAGGCATATTTTTAGTATTGGAGTTCGATTTATTTTTAAATTAAGTATTTACTTCAAGTATTTAAAATACTCAGTACAACAGCTCTGGCGGTACACATCTTCAGAGGCAATGTGGTAAAGGGCGAAGTGTTCTCTTCGTTGTTCCTCCGATGACTCAGGGTAAGATGTTAATTAATTTAAGATTTTTTTTTATAAATCCGGATTTTGGAGTGTATTCTTGAAATTAAGGGAGGGCCCCGTAGGGCTGCCTGGGGTCCTACGCTGCAGCCTAGTTAGTGTATGCGTAAATCCGCCACTGTTTCTTCCCCTCATATTTCTTGGGTTCTCGATCTTAATTTCTTAAAAATGTTCTTGATCGAAAGAGTTTCTGAAAAAGATCTTGTTGAGACTTTCCTTTTCTACTTTAACAATTTGTACCTCTGAGATTTTTATTGAATGAGGAGCCTACTACCTAAGCCTACTGATTGAGCTGAAATTTTCAATTCGTAAAAATCTTCGAATGTCATTTCTTGAACGTTGTACGGATTTTCCAGTCTTTTCAGCGGTTGTTATGAGAGTGACATACTGTTCTGGTACGTAAACTGGTCCAGATCTCAGAGATCTATTAAGATTTCTTTCAATGAGAGAGTGAGCATTGTCCCCTTCATTTTGAGTATGCTCTGTAATTAGGTATTTGTGGGTAATGCTTTTAATACTTGGAAACGTTTTGACCGCATAAATATAGGATGACAGCAAAAATATGTTCTTCTGTTGCCCTGCGCAGTTATCAGAGTAGAAAATTATATTTTTGGGCTCATCAAAAGCATTGTTCAGATTTTCCAAATAGGATAAAACGCAAGAACCAATCTCATTAGATCCCCTGTTCCCCTGACCCTCATGCCACACATAGCACATAACTGTATTAGTTTTATCGTTGTGGTAAAATTGAAAACGTTAAGCTTCAAAACGTAATAGAACGAGGAAGTATCGCCTTTTGGGCAAGGTAATACAGCTTGGAGATCGTACACTGCAACAAAATTTCTTCAGGTTAAGTATCCCTGAGAAAAATAAAAATTAAAATAAGCCTCAGGTTTAATTTCAACATTACAACTTCATACTTTTGGACTTCCCATATACTGTTGTCCAAGAGACAATCTTTGGTGGTTTGCAACCAACGCGAGATGAAGTGCGAATGGAAAGTAGGAAGACATACACCCTTAGCCATGGTGCAAGGGCTGTTGACGGGGGTCTGATTCAGCTTTCTATTTGCCTGACACTCGATGCACAAATCCGTTATATGGTTGTTGCAGATGGCGCAATCGCCCAAGCCTGAGTAAAAATAAGAAGTTTAGAAGGATTATTTTCAGTGTTTTGAGAATGACTTACCCCAGGACATCATGGCTACTGAGTGCCACTGGAAAATTAATGAAATGAAATATTATAAATAGTAATTGGAAAATATGAAAAATTATAAACAATAAAAATTTAAGCGCCCGCTTCCTTTGCTGATGGCATTTTTGTACTTATTCCTTTATTCGATACTGCAACTGCAAATTTTATTGGACAAATAAAATAAATGTCAGCTGTAAAA